TACCATCCGTATCCCCGGTAGTTTTAGGCTGATCCGGAGTGAAGTGAAGGCTGCAAACTTTGCTGTGTGGCGTTGGCTTTAACTGGTAGCGACAGATATTTACAAGCCAGGATCGCTTGGAAATTAACGAAAACTTAAAAGCCCATTATATTAGGAAGACAACAATGTTAATAGTATTGGTTTTTTTTGCATCTGAAATACGACTTGGTCTTTTCTACCAGTCATGGTAACTCAAAGCGGAAAAAAGTGAGCCGCATTAGCTCCTGGAGATGTGACGTCAACGCCTTAGGTGCAAAGAGCCCATTCATGTTAGCCACTGTACTAGCCTAGCATAATACCGCCACTTCCTGGTCGTTTTAACGAGATACGTATCTCGTTAAAACGAGATCGTTAAAACGACATACTATCTCGTTTTAACGAGATAAGTATCTCGTGTATTCACAGACAGAACCGCCGACCCAACAGAACTTCCTGCTTAACGAGATAGCGATCGAAAAATTTTTTTTCCTGCGTGATAGCAATGCGCTTCCGTAAAATGCTCATCATACATCAATATCAAAATATTATATTCGGGGTCTATTTTGTTTTCCGCACTAAAAAGATTTAAATATGCTAAACCATGCATCAGTCAATTCAAAACTACTTTAAAAATAATGTCCTTGTAAATGTAGCTATGTAGCTGTTTGAATAAGGCTCAGCAAAAAAATCGTGAAAATCTGTTTAGTACTGAGCGAGTTATGATCGATTAAATGCGCTGATATGTCATTGCGCCTGTCAAACATACAAGACTGAGTGGAGCGGTCGACCTCTCCAAGATGGCCGCGCTAAGGAGCGGCCATGAGCGTCTGCCCACTGACGCGGTGCATTCTGGGAGGTGTAGGAAGCAGCAGACTAGACGTACCACAGACAGAACCGCCGACCCAACAGAACTTCCTGCTTAACTCCAGAGTTGGGTAATAACCAGCTACATTTACGGGGTTTTAATGTTTTTATCTTTTTAAATCTTTTTCAGAATGTCTTTCTCACTGTTTATTCAATGTCACATGCTGTTTTTATTTTAATTATGTAAAGCACTTTGAAATGTCTTGCTGATGAAATGTGCTTTACAAATAAAATTTGATTGATTAAGTAAATGTAAAAAAATAAAAATAACTTTTTGAGGAATTTTTATTACAATGTACTTTTTACTTTTACTAGAGTAATTTTATTTTGAAGTAGTTCTTCTCATTATTGGGTGAAATTTCTGGATTTTCTACCCACTGATTGAAAAACAAACACGTTTTAACCAAAAACCAGCAGATTCAGACACACACCTGCAGTTTCTGTTAAACTCTGGGAAGATTTTATTGAAAAAAGAAAGAAAGTCTGATTTGGAAACAGTTTCTTTCGTCTGATTTTGTTATATGAATTATTACAATTTTTGTCCTAAAAATACCAACCTTTGCTCTTAACTTTATACTTTGGTCTTTCTGATTATGTAATTTTTAAAAACTTTTTACAAAATACTTTTTTACTCTTACTTGACTGTCATGGATGAGTATTTTTTACTTTTACTTGAGGAAAAATTTGTTGAGGTATTTCCAGTTAGTGTTCTCTGTTTTGCTCCAACATGTGGAAAT